CAGAAGAAAGTAGTAGATTTTTTTTGAAAAAAAAACAGACTTAGAAATGCTATCAGCAGATCGTTGAAAACGTTTTTGAAGTTTGCGATTTGAGAGACCGGTTGAAAATAGTATAGAGTAGAAGAGCCAATTTCTCAGTTGCAGTTATAAACCGTGAGTCGCACAGAATTCCAGCTTCTTCAAGCACAGAACGTAGTTCGAAGAAGACATGTTTGCGCATGCTGAGATTCTCATGAAAAACCGAATTGTTTGGATTATTGATGAGTTCATCAATCCAAGCTTGACCACTGAGAATAGAGGTCAGGCGCGGTGTTTTGTAGAGCTGCGGAAGAAGTTGTCTAATGCAGATTTGAGTACCAATACTAAAATAGGTGAACATGGCAAAATGTTGCTTTTGAATAGCAAGAACTTGTTTGATAAATTTTAATTTTAATAACTTCTCATTTTGCGTGTGATCATGAGTGTGTAGTGATCTCGAAAACGGGCGAGCACGACGCTGTATTTCGTTCGAGCCGGTGTTGTGTGATGACATTACAAGGTAGTCGGTTTTATTCTGTACAGGTGGTTTGGTTTTGTAGGGAAAAGTATGAGAACGATGATGATGAACGAAGATGATGAAAGAAGATTGAAGTTGATGATTGAAGACGATGAACGAAGAAAACAAAGGTCTGGATGACCGTTTCAAAAGGGAGAGTCAAACAACAACACGAGATACAATCACACCTGGTCGTCACCGAACAGCGAACTGATCATGACGAGGTCAACAGACGTCTGTTGACCTCTTTTGGTTCGCTGTTCGGTAATCTCAGTTTTCGAATTACGACAATCTCGATGTGCACCTCGAGATAGGGGCGAACTGAAATTTGGTTTTCAGGTCATATAATCTTTGAAAAGGAGCCGAACGGGCCCTTAAGTAACTCAGAGTGCATTACCCACGAAAGTGTCTTTTCTTGAATATAGCTTTCCTGAGTGGTATGATGTTTCTTTCAGTGTTTAAGCCTTTTCTATTGGGATTCCTTTCACTCTGGTAGTTGTTAACTTACCATGTGGATTCCCAAAATGTGGGCTCATATGTTTTGGAAAGAGATGATTTGGTTTCGATTTATGTTCCTAGCTGAGTCATCATTCCACTCGAGAGCAAAAGATAGGTCCCGGTCTGGGTGAGATTTTCGAAGATCTTTTTGCATATATGACCAAAAGCCAATACCTGGTGTGAGGATCATGCAATGGAAATTGCATTGATCATGGTGGTCTAATCACATTTTATGTACGCATTTGTCTCCATTGAAGATCCACCCAAAGAGACCAAACACAAGCGGTGCAAGGCCAGTAAAGGCATATGAGATGCCCATCTTGGTGACTTTCAATCTCTTTTGAAAAAACATATTTGCCACAAAAACTCCACATGAGCAATGAAACTCGTACAAACCATAAGATTGTTACTATTACACTTTACTTCTTACAGACTACTCAGACCCATTTGCCAATCATTAGTCCAATATCTATATCACACATCAATAAAGTTCCACAACACAATATCAATACATATCTACCCAATATCGACCACAACTACACAATCATCTAGAGAGACGTCTTCATTAAACGACTTACCCTGCAGCCAAGGTACCTCCATCCTTTCTATTTGTTTCATCGACCACAGTCCAGTCAGGTAAATTAAGTCCTGTCCTAAGTGGAAATAACCTGAGGGCGGATTCGATCCCTGTACCGTCTGTTCCCGATATCACAATCGCAGTCTTCTGGTCATATGTTGCGGATGGTTGGGTAGGGTTGGATACTTGAGGATGTGGGATTTGATAAAGAATACCTACAAGTTCAGGCACACATTGATCCCGAGAAAATCATTGGTAAATCAAAGCGACCCGTCTTAGCATTTACTTTCTTGTAAGCATAAACACACTGACGCCAAAAAAGTATGAAAGACACCACAAACCTTGTCCAGGTTTATCAAACTCATGACCAGCCACGCTGAATGAAGCTCGATTGTCAATTCCAGCCTTCCATTCGATTTCAACGCTTTGGCGGTCAACGTGCGGTGCAAAATAACAGTTATCCAGAGTATTCCCAATGATGATCAGGTTTCCATCGTCTTCACTTTGATCGAATAATGCTTCCCGATCAGATGATGTGATGGTCATCATACGGAAATAAACAAATAGCATGTGAGCCAGACGTTTCGCCACTGACTGCAGATGGCAGCGCGATTCTTTATTTTGGGTCCCGTATATGATTCTCATAGGGCCAGTAGAGTTTAGTATTTGGGTAAGTGGACGTAGTCGCTTTTCATGAGAGAAATTGTGCCAGGAAGACTGTTCTACTGATTTCCAGCGTTTTTCGTCAGATCTCATCATGATTAGTCGACTTGATGTATACTGGTTCAAATCTAGCTCTAGACCATCAATTGTGGCGCTCATCTGACCGTCTAACATCATCGACAAGACCTTCAAAGGTAATTGGAAAGCGCAAACGTTTGTCGTTTCAATTTTGAGGTCCCATTTGCTTTGATTCTGAACGCCTGTAACTTTGATCCTACCGAGTCTACAAGTGATGGGATCAAGCCGCACAAATCAGCAACAGTGGAAAGTATTCCTTGTGAATTTACTCTTCAGGTTAACTTACTTCCATCCTTGAAGTAACATCATGATTTTAAATCCTTGAAAACTTCCTGCCTCAATGGGGTCACTCACCGTGAGGGTGATTCAAAAGGGCCTTTCCATCTTTCAAGCTTTTATCACCTTTATGTATTGATGTTTGTTTGTCTAAAAAGTTCACCACACTGGTGACTGGG